CATTTCTTCTCTCCCTGTTTGCCAGTGGCGGGTTCAGCAGCGGCAGCCCCTGGAAGTCTAGACCAGATATGCCATATCAGAGAATCTTCTGTAAACATTTTTGATTGGTGACTCACTACTTTAAGAAAGGATTATTTTGTATCAGACGATCTTTTAAATTGTACTTTAAAGACCCAACCCATTTTCTTAGAATACTAAGTTAATCCTGCACCAGCCCAGTGAATTTTGTGGCATTTCCAAACATTAGATATTCTTATAGTTGGAACCCTGGCTTTCTAGAGGTTTGGAGGCATTTTTGTAGATATCTCCATTCTTGGTGCTTCAACGGCTGATTAATGACTTTCCTGAGTTTTGTGGGTGATGGGAACCTTTTCATTAACACTGTGGTGAGATAACAATAGTTTTAAATGGGATGAGAGGCACTTTTTTTTTTTTAATATATCTTTATTGATTTCAGAGAGAGGAAAGGAGATAGAGAGATATAGAAACGTCAATGATGAGAGTCATTGATTGGCTGCAGCCCACAACCCGGGCATGTGCCCTGACCGGGAATCGAACCCCGATCGCCTGGATCCTAGGTTTATGCTCAACCGCTGAGCCATACCCGGCCGGGCGAGAGGCACTTTTGAAGGTGCAAATCTTAAATATATTTAAAATATGACCCAGAAAGGATGCTGCAGAAAATTTTCACTTTAAAAAAAAAAAAGCCACAAGAATTATAGCAGATGCTAACTTTTCTTCCCCAAGATTAAACAATAGCCCAAAGATCTGTTGGAAGGACCGAGGAGGGGAGCTATTTTGGGCATCTTTTTTAAACGAAGCCTTCAGGCTTCTTTATGGGTTTAACTTCCTGCCGGTGGGACTGGCAGAAAGTTCACATATTAAGCAAGGAAGATATAAGTACATTCTGCAACTTTGGCCTTGTAAGCTGTGATCATTTTTAAGGTTGACGAGCATAGCTCACTATGAGATGAAGCAAGGAGCTTGGCATTTACACACTGTGAGTCAGTTTCGACATCAGCCTGGGCTGGGAATTGACTGGGAGGTTTGGGGCTGGCCTGTGGCTGCGCTGCAGTGTGTTGATCCAGAGGCATGCATGAGCAATACTTCCCTTTGGGCTTCGGCCATTAATTTGTGGAATGGAGCAAGGACTGGAGAGGAAAACTGAGAGACTGCCTTGGATTTCCTCACGTCCTGTTGAATCAAAAAACAGTGGGAGGCCCTTTTCCTTCCTGACAAAGGCCTCATCCCTTCACATGGATTTCCCAAGCATCTGTCTCCGTTTTAGGGACTGCCCCTCTCTAACCCATAGTTTAAACCAGTGCATACCCCTGGGCCAGTATCTGCACTCTGCCCATTCCAGGTGTTTTCCAGGCCACTTCCCCTGATTATGTAACTTTCTTTGATCAAATCCAGATGCTGCAGAATGCTTGATAGAAGAGGTCAAATGGCCTTTGAGAAGAAAGCATTTCTGTATTCATGACTTTGGTTTAATTTCCTGTATGGGCCTCGTCTGCCAAGGTTGTGCGCTCATGGCCACGATGCTAGGACACTAGAGGGAAATAAGCAAGCACTTTTTCGGGACAACCTGAGAAGATGTCCCCCTCCCCCAGTGTACTTTTTCATGTTAGATTATCAGTTATTACATGAGTGTCAGCTGGCTTCTATTTAGAACAGTTTTTCTATTTTTGTAATTGTTTTCTGATGATAGAAACATTCCACATTCATTGTGAGAAATATGACAAAATACAGAAAAAGAATAAAGAAAATTCTAAATATCTGTACTCTCACCACCCTGAGTGAACTACTTTTTAACTACTTTTAATGGTACTGTTAACATTCTACCGAGTTAAGTACTGTTCACATTTTGATGTAGTTCCTTTTGGACTTTTTTCAGTTTTCTCCAAAAATATGTATATATTTTTAAATTCTCACCTGAGGATATTTTTCCACTGCTTTTAAATAGAGGAGAGGGAGGGGGTGTTGGGAGGGGGAGAGAGACATTGATGTGAGAGAGACACATCAGTTGGTTGCCTCCCACACGCACCCCAACTAGGACCAGGGAACGAAACTGCAATCCAGGTTTGTGCCCTTGACCAGGAACCGAACTTGTGACCCTTTGTGCATGGGCCAACGCTCTGATCCTTCGGCAACACCAGCCAGGGCTCCCCAAAAGTATTTTGAATGGCTTTATAAGCATATTTTGTTTTATGGGCAGAACCACAGACTAACTTATCTTATGTTGATAAATATTTTGTACTTTTATGTGTTATTTAAAAATCAGTATGTACAGATCATTGTGTGGCTCTCTCAGGTTAGATTCTCAAGGTAGGTCAGAGGCTATGGGATCTTTAAAAGACTTGGTTCCTATTTCCAGTTGCCTGTCTGAAATGTGGCGGCAGGGTCTACGCCAAGCACTAGCATCGTGTGAGAGTGCCCGTTTCATTGCAGTTGCACTGTTAGCCTCAGGAAAACGGACCTTCCAGTTTGATGAAGAATTCACATCTCTGATGACTAGAGGGTTAACATGCTTTCCGTGTTTAACGGCAGTTTAAATTTTCTGTGAATTGCTAATCCGTGGTTTTGGTCCCTTTTTCCGTAGTGCAGGGCTTGTCTTGTTTTTCTGGTAGGCAGACGTTCTTTTAGGAACCATCCTTTGTCTAATGGCTTCACTTAACCTAACGATAATAGACGTTCTTTTGATTGGCTTCCACTACTTTACTTGACTTGCTAAATTCACCCTGGCGCTCTCCTGCCCGCTCCACAGCACCGGTGGGGCAGCCGCGCCGCCCCTCTGCTGCGAACACTGCTCCCCTCCCACCACTGGAGTTGCAGCCACACCAAAGCCAGTTGTGTTTCTGTTCATTTTAGATATACTTGTTGTTTTAATTACTTGGTTAATATGAAGCCAGTGAGATCCAAATGTGAAAAGAGAATTCTATGAAAATGAGTGCTTTAGGCAGACTCAGTAAAGGCAGGTAACTTTTAAAAATTGCTACAGGACTAGAGGTGAATGAGGCAGCTGTGGACAGTGGGAAGGATGTACTGGGATCACATAGCGAATGGCTCCGAATTCCCCCTCCACCTGCAGGAATGTGAGCTGGGGGTGAGACTGCATCACAGGTAGGACTTCCAGAAGATAACACCCAGCTCTAACTGCATATTCACACCGAAGGGGGGTCCTTGGCCCCATAGTCAAGGCTAGCAAACCAGTGTATATTCCAGTGGGGTGGGAGATCACATATTTTAATAAAAAATAATAATAATTCCCTGCTTTAACGAACTTTTTTAGGGTTAGTTGGTCAAACCCTGATCAGTGGCACTAGACACATTTTTCGAGCCAGTGTAAATAATCAGAGAACAGGCCCTAACATACCACGAAGCCTTTTCCACATTCTAGGGAATGGCAGTGTTACCGGACTCTCTTCCTTGAAATTATCTTTGCCCCTGTGGTTCATAAGATGGAATTACCAAGCATAGTGATGACATAGGTTGGGATGTACTCTTTCAGAAAAGCAGTTCCTGAAGTTCGCCTCAGTCAGTGGCACCAAAGCTAGAATTGAAAGACCTCCTTTATTTAGCTCTGTTGGTTTATTCTAGAGGGATATTTAAAGAATGTTTCCGAAAGCTCTCCAGTCACGTGTCCGGAAGTTTAGCTTAGTCCCTCAGAGGTCTTAGGTGCCTCCAGTGGGTTGCTTTTTGTTTTGTTTTGTTTGTTGTGTTTTGTTTTGTTTTTTAAGGGAATGCAGCAGAATCAGGCCTATCCCAAAAGATGTTTGGGTGTCCTCTAAATCCATAAAGAGAAAATTAAAACAATTGTGTTTGGTTACCATTTAGGTTTGGCTTAAGCATGTGGTGGATCCTTTCATTCTTTTCAAATTCGAATTATCCCCCCTGCCTTTTTTAAAGTTTGATTTCTTATTGTAGTTTCCTTAAATGAGTATTCATATTTCATTCCATAATATCCTTACAACTGTTAAGATCCACTTGGAGTAGATTTGTTGGTTTCAAATAACCATTGTGCATATTGGTCATTATCACAGAGAAGTTCGAGAGCATTTGAGCCTAGTTCAGGAAAAAGAAAGGCCAGGAGAGACTTCAGAAGATATTGAGCTGTTTGGCCGTGTAGGGACTAAGCCCGACACGTTCCCAATATAAGAGGTACTGGTTTTCAACTCTTAGAATCTACCTGTAGACAAAACATGAAAGATGTTATTGTTACAGAGTAGGAGACACTTGTTAACTTCCACAAGGTACAAGAAAGAGTGAAGAAGGCCCTGCTCGAGAGTGAGCATAGTGAGGGAAGCTGGACGGCAGGCAAGGTGTTAATATAGCTTATGGTGTAGATAGTCCAGAGATACCGTCTCTAGCTGGTAGGACTAGAAGTAAAGGCCTAAGTCTGTTCCTGAACATGCGAAGGTAACCAGTAGAGGGCAGCACCAGAGAGGCGGGGGCGGGGCGGGGTCCTAGTGAGACAGTGGATGTCTCCAGAGATGGAAATGATCGTGGAGAGAAGAGCTGTTGCCTCTGGGTGTAGGGGAGAGTGGATGGAAAAATGTTTGTCTTTCATTATAAACCCTTCTGTGTGTAATATCTGATTTTTAAACTATATGCATGTGTTAACTTTGATACCTTTAAAAATGTTTTAAAGCAAGAAACTCTCCATATTATAACATAAGCAGTGGCAGACTTATAAGGTTGGACTGTTTCCATTTCTAACTGAATTCATTTTGAATTAGTGAATTTAAGTGACTTAACCTATTTGGGAACACCCCCTTGGAACGCAAATACTTAGCGTTTTCCACAAGATTTGGGAAAGGGAAGAGTTCATTTCCTACACCACCTTTCTTATTAATGTGTAATGTGCACAGGTGATGAGAAACAAAATAAATTAGGAATGTATAATTTTGGAAATACAGACTTTCTTGCTTCTGGGAATAAAATTAATTTTCCCCCTAATTATTCTTTTTCTTTCTTCTGTTTCCCTATTTCTCTTCCAGAAGCCCTCCAAAGGCCAGTAGCATCTGACTTTGAGCCCCAAGGTCTGAGCGAGGCAGCTCGTTGGAACTCCAAGGAAAACCTCCTCGCTGGTCCCAGTGAAAACGACCCCAACCTTTTCGTTGCACTGTATGATTTTGTGGCCAGTGGGGATAACACTCTAAGTATCACTAAAGGTAAAGGGCTGTGGGCAGCAGGTGGTCATTGCAAGAGCCAGAAATTGAGGGAAACTGTGGCTCAATTGTTTGTCCCTCTGCTGATTAAAGGAGCAGATTTAAAGTTTGGAATGCAGAGATATCCAAGAAAACAACAGCAACTTTATAAGAGAACCTCTTTTCCTGAGGAGAGTTCCTGTGTAGCATCCTTCGCAAAAACAGAGCTTTCCTTGTTTTATATTGAAAAAGACACTGAGACCAAATGCAGAAAACACTTTTTTTACTTTTTTAAAGAAAAAATATTTTTTCCCTAAAATGCTTCCTTGTATCAGGAGCAGAGCACTTGAGTAAACAAAACATAATAGGTTTATAAAAATTGAGGCTTTATGATTATTCCTGTTTTCAGTACAAACAGGAAGTTTCATATAAAACGTACTCATACACTTAAAATGCGTGCATTTTCGTGGACTTGTTAAGGTGAAGGGGGTGGTTAGGAACTGGGAGATGTGTAGTAATCATATAAGACTAAGTGGAATGAGCAAGTTAGTTTTTGAAGCTGATGCGTCTGGTTTGGTTCTCTCCTAAGGCGAAAAGCTCCGGGTCTTAGGCTACAATCACAATGGCGAATGGTGCGAAGCCCAAACCAAAAATGGCCAAGGGTGGGTCCCAAGCAACTACATCACGCCAGTCAACAGCCTGGAGAAACATTCCTGGTACCATGGGCCCGTGTCCCGCAACGCTGCTGAGTACCTGCTGAGCAGCGGGATCAACGGCAGCTTCCTGGTGCGGGAGAGCGAGAGCAGCCCCGGGCAGAGGTCCATCTCGCTGCGATACGAAGGGAGGGTGTACCACTACAGGATCAACACTGCTTCCGATGGCAAGGTAGGGCCCTGGCGGGACCTGATGGGCGCGTCGGCGAGTAGTCTTTGGCCAGGAGAGCCCAGAGTCCTGCTGCTGGGTTGCTAAGTTATTGCACCAAAGCCCAGCCAAGATGTTTGAAGAAGCTTTCAGGTAAACAGCAGGCATCAATTTATTAGCCTTATGAAAGGCCCTCTGTGGAGGACCAGTCACATGATGTTATAAGGGTTGGTGTGGTTCTCTGTGTCCTACTGGACTTTTGTTGTTAGCAGTTTCATAAGAGAGGTGTGGAGTATCTGTTGGGTTTCATACGTGCCTCTTACATTGAAACTCTTCCTTGTAAAAAATCTCTTAGGATAGTAATTTATCCTTAATGAGAAAAGTTCAGACAAAGGTGGGTATTTTATAAGTAAAAAGCCACCTTAATAACACCTCCCCAAAATATGTCTGGTCCATGGCCTTGATCCTATGGATAAAATTGTGTGTGTCTGTGTGTCTGTCTGTGTGTCTGTCTGTCTGTGTGTCTATAGACAGTTTTTATACAAAAATGGGATCACATTATACCTGTAGATTTCTAAACCCAAACTGCAGTTTTGTAAAGAAGTTGATACACTATATGGTTTTGTGATCTTCACATGAAGGGTCCTTAAGAGTCCATGAAGGGAAGGGAGGAACGAATATCTACCAAGTTCCTACTGTGTGCTGGGGCATTTTTCCGTCTTCATCTCATTTCAACGACATCTCAGTCTTCAGGGCAGTATTGCTGAAATCTGTATTTACGCATTAAGCAGTGGATGCTCAGAGGGATGACATTTCCTGCCCCAGATCACATAGTGAGTCATTGATGGAACTAGGCTGCAGTCCCACTGTCCACTCTGCTGCACCACGCTGTCGCTGAGGGTGTGCGTAGGTGGATTGTGGGTGGGTCCAGGTGGTATATGTATTCTTTAACAATATGTAATGCATGCATGTGGCTTGGAAAAAAATGAATTACAGTGAAAAGTAATTCTGTCTCCTACCTTAGTAGGAGATGCAGCCACTGTAACCAGTTTCTTCCAGAGTCGCCCTATGTTTACATTTTTAAAAAACCAAAAGATGTGTACTGCACGCTGTTCTACGTCTTGCTCTTCCCACCTGACATATTTTGGAGATTGTGGTGGCACATTTAGAGCTGCCTCATCCTTAATAATGCCTAGTGTGGATGGACCATCGTTTATTTAAGCAGTCCCTGCTGGTGGACATGTAGGTTGCTTACAGTCTTATGCTGTTATAAATAATGCTTTTTATAAGGTGGCTTTCAGACCTTTTACAAAAATTTTAGCCTGCTGTAAAAAATCATTTTAGCCCTGGCCAGTGGTTATAGAGCGTCGGCCCACGGACTGAATGGTCCCAGGTTCAGTTCTGGCCAAGGGTATGTACTTCAGTTGCAGGCCTGATTCCCCAGCCCTGGTCCGGGCATGTGTGGTAGGCAAGCAATTGATGTGTCTCTCTCACATCGATATTTCTCTCCCCCGAGTCACCTTCCCTTCCATTCTCTCTGAAAGCAATGGAAAAAATATCCTCAGGTGAAGACTACCAAAAAAGTCATTTTACATCACCACTCAGTACTCCCATTAGTTACAGAAGGTTCCTGAAACTTTGCTTTCTCCTAATATATGTACTTCAGCTGATATTTTGTATTCTGTTCTGTTTCATTTTTTTAAAAGTTCTGGTCATAATCCACTAAATTGATTTCATAGCCCTACCCCCCTCGGGGTCCTGCCCTGCAGTTTGAAAATATAGTACACAGACTTTTCTGTGTACGGTGGAGTGAATGCAAGATAAGCTGCTAGAACTGAGGGAAGGTCCTGTGCATTTAAATCTGTTTACCTATTGCCCATCACCTTCTGTGGAAATTGTACAGATTGGCTCTCTTACCATCAGCTTATGAGAGTGCATGTTTTACCTCACCCTCCTCAGCAGCACATTTTCAGACTTGTGAAGACATCTCACTCTAACTGGTAAATGCATGTGTCACATTTTGAGTAATCCTTGTGTCTTTTTAAAAAATATGTTTTTATTGATCTTTTAGAGAGAGGAAGGTGGAGAGAGAGAGGAACATCGACCAGTGACCTCCTGCATGCCCCCTACTGGGGACTGAGCCCTCAACCTGGGCATGTGCCCTGACTTGGAATCGAACCAGGGACCTTTTGGTGCACAGGACGACACTCAGCCAACTGAGCCACACCTGCCAGGGCAATCCCTATGCCTTTTACTAAATTCATCTTTTCCTACATATTTGAAATTCAGCAAATTTACATACATATTTAGGTCTGTTGCTCTCTCTTCTCTTCCATTGGTCTGTCTGTACATGTGCCAATGACACTTCTAATTTGTAATGGCTTTGTAATGTTTTAATATCTGGTAGGGCTAGTCCCCTCCTCTTAATCTTTTTAGCATTTTTATTATTCCTCACACATTCATTTGTACCATCCATACAAATGCATATTGTGTGTGCGTGTGTGTGTATTTAATGTTCTTTTCTGTTTTTTTTTTTCCCAAGTGTTTTAAAGTCATTTGACCACAGTCTTGTTGCCAATATCTGGTGCTTTTCATCATGGCAGATGTCTCTAAACCAGCGCGTGGGTCGTATGGCAGACAGCATAGTCTGCTGTAACGTGTGACTGGAGATCAGCCTGATCAGCCTGCTTTTAGGATCTTAACCAAAATGTGGGGATAGGTCCTTCCATTCTGCAGGATTGATTCCAAGGGGGTAGGTCCTTGGAAATCTTGCCTTCAGACCACAAGGGTGCCTTTTTAATGAACTATAACAGCAGAGTGCACCTAGAGCAGGTGACTTCCTTCAGCTGACATGTTGCTCCCCATCTGTGCTGTTTATCCAAGCCAAGCCGTGCTGCCCCACGGCCATCAGTTGGGGTTTGTATTGAATGGGGTGGTGGTCTCTTTGCCCTGGAGTTGTGTGATCAGCATCCTTGCAGCATCAGCATCCTTGCAGGCAGATGCAGGTGTGTGATCAGCATCCTTGCAGGCAGATGCAGGTGTGTGATCGGCATCCTTGCAGGCAGATGCAGGTGTGTGATCGGCATCCTTGCAGGCAGATGCAGGTGTGTGATCGGCATCCTTGCAGGCAGATGCAGGTGTGTGATCGGCATCCTTGCAGGCAGATGCAGGTGTGTGATCGGCATCCTTGCAGGCAGATGCAGGTGTGTGATCGGCATCCTTGCAGGCAGATGCAGGTGTGTGATCGGCATCCTTGCAGGCAGATGCAGGTGTGTGATCGGCATCCTTGCAGGCAGATGCAGGTGTGTGATCGGCATCCTTGCAGGCAGATGCAGGTGTGTGATCGGCATCCTTGCAGGCAGATGCAGGTGTGTGATCGGCATCCTTGCAGGCAGATGCAGGTGTGTGATCGGCATCCTTGCAGGCAGATGCAGGTGTGTGATCGGCATCCTTGCAGGCAGATGCAGGTGTGTGATCGGCATCCTTGCAGGCAGATGCAGGTGTGTGATCGGCATCCTTGCAGGCAGATGCAGGTGTGTGATCGGCATCCTTGCAGGCAGATGCAGGTGTGTGATCGGCATCCTTGCAGGCAGATGCAGGTGTGTGATCGGCATCCTTGCAGGCAGATGCAGGTGTGTGATCGGCATCCTTGCAGGCAGATGCAGGTGTGTGATCGGCATCCTTGCAGGCAGATGCAGGTGTGTGATCGGCATCCTTGCAGGCAGATGCAGGTGTGTGATCGGCATCCTTGCAGGCAGATGCAGGTGTGTGATCGGCATCCTTGCAGGCAGATGCAGGTGTGTGAACGGCATCCTTGCCCCCTGATGCAAGGTGTGTGATAGGCATCCTTGCTGGCAGATGCAGGCGTGCTCTAGTTTGATAGCTTAAGAGAGAAAGCAAGGCCTCCGTGTGGGATGCATGATGTGCAGAATTCGAGAGTCAGGCAGTGAAGACAGACCCTTTCTCTAAATGCGACTGTGTGCCAGGGTTTCTTTCACTCCAGGTGGAGTCCAGGACACCCATGCGATCAGGCACTGCCCACCACTGGACGGCTTATCAAAGTGTCCTAGGCCTCCTGCCCACCCGCCTCCCTGACAGAGACCCTCCCTTCAGCTGTTTGAGTGCCTGGAGACGTCTAGTCCCACGGGGTCATCAGGCAGACCATCTGCAGAGGATCCTCTCTGTGAGGGCTGCCCTTGAGGGGGCTGTGCTGGGTGGAATCTTGCTCCTGGAATGTGTGGAACAGCATCAGAGTGGTGAAACGGCATCAAATGGGGAGGTGCCGCAGTGACTCGTGAGACAGTGTGGCCCAGCATCAGCACTGCGGCTCGTGGCAGAGCTTTGGTGCAGTCCTTTCTGGATTTCTAAGAGGAAAATGTGAGGTTCATAGGAGGGACAGGCTAGGGTCGAATAAGTTTAATTCTTAGTTTCAAATTAGCTAATCTTTAGAAAAACAGCTGAATTTCAAAGATTCTTCTGTAAAGCGCCAAAGGATATCTTTCTGTCTCCACCCTCTTGGCTATGGTTTACCTCTCTCTTCGTGTTCCTGAGCTTTCACCAGTCAGCTCAGGGCCGCCAGCTCAGGGCCCAGAGCCCAGGACTTGGGTGTTTAGCACTGGACTCTTGAAAGGGCCATACCAGACAGAGCTATTGCTGTTTCCTAAGAGTCTTGAAAGCTTAAAAATCTTCAGGTACCCTGGCACTTGGATGTCATTCTTCCATGCTTTCTCAACATTTGTGATCCTCTGCCAACACAGTGGAATTGAAGACTGGTTTTTATCTTACCCCCCCAAAATCTTTCTTAGCTCTTCTAGTTGTGTCCACATTTTATTTGCCCCTGTGAGGTGCTCCTGTCAAGTTCCACAATTTCTTATAGCTTTTGATGGAGTCTTTCCTTAAGATGCCGCCTGATGCTTATTTTCTGTCTAATAGAGGGGCAGGTTCAGGTCCACAGGAGTGGGATTTGGGCTTAAGCTTTAGCAGAGGTGGCAGGATGGGCCAACTGTGTAACCTCTAGAATTTTATTAAGATTTACTAACCCTGACAGTGGCATCCCGGTGGAAGGTGAAAAGCCTGCTGAAACCTTGCTGACCTTCCCTTATGGAGGAGACTGGAGTGTTATTAAGCTGCTGAATTATTAAGTACCGCCTGGCCCCTGGCATGTGAGAGGCTCTCGGGGAACTGTGCTGCTGGCCGAGAGCCTGTAAACAGCACACCTGCGGGGGTCTGCAGGGTTGTGGGCAGCTCAAGGGCACACACGTCTCAGCTCTGATTAGCCTGCAAGATGGCCATCGGGGAAAGTGCTTCTGCTGAGTTTCTTTGATAGGTCCTGTCCTTGGGTTCCTGCGAGATCAGGGAGAGGCACAGCCCTAGCTGAGCACCCTGAGTGTTTATGTGACAGGTTACATAGCATAATGACATACCATTCGTAATGCTAATTTCACTTTCTCCTCTGAGCATGCCATGAATTCCTGATGGAGATTACCCAGCACACTAGCAAAAGCTGCTCAGAAACTAGAACTAATCAGAAGGAAGCCATCAGACTCCTTGACGGCTAGAAGGTGGCTGTGCTGTGCATTTAAGGGAGAGTAATTTTAGTACCTAATAAATGTTGGTATATCAGTTTTATGTTGAAAGATGAACTGAGTCACAGGATCTGTAAACTTAATTATTGAAAAGGGTGAAGTTTGCCCATTCATTGAAATCTCCTGTCACTCTGACGTGTCTAACCGAGGAGCCTGTGAGGGAATCAAAGGAGACCAAGAACAGATTCTGCATAACCTAGGGCTTAGGGAGCCACTAGCATTCTCTGCAGTTGAAGGAACGTGCTCTTTGGGTTGGGGAGCACTCCTTTCAAGCTGAGGCGGAGAAATAGGCAGTGAGCCTGTTCCCGGGCGACCGGCCTGGACTCCGCCAATGATTGCCGGGGAGTGTGTGCGTTCTGATTCCAGGGAGCGTCTTCTTGGAATGGCTTTCTCTCTCCTTGCCGCTCCTTGGTAGGGAAGACACTGTCCGCTGAGCTAACCCAAGAGAGGAGGACTTGGAGGATCACAACCTGAAGCAAAGTATCTAGACACCTGGCGGACTTTTCCACAGAGGGCCGGGCTTTACGAGCTGTCCCAGGTCCCATTCAGTCTTTGTGAACTGCACTGTTGTCAGGACTGACACTGACAGATGCTGTGCATGCTGAGGGCAGGCTCGGCAGTCTGACTTCACTCCCCTACCCCGCCACCCCCAACACTGTGCACGTGTCACACAGCATGTCCCCAGAGTGGTTCACTTCCAGGTTTTCCTCAGGGCCCTCAAGTGTAAAAGTGGGGCCTTCGGGTGGGCCTCCTCCTCACCCTCAAAGGTCCTGCCACTCAGCGGCACCATCTCGCAGAGGGAGGGGCTCCCTGCCTAGCAGCTCTCCACTGTGCATCAGAGAGAGACTCACGTGCACTCGTGTCTGAAAGCCTGCTCCTGACTTCCCTGGGGTGGAGGAGCCCGTGTGGCCTTGGTGCGGCCCTCCGAGGCCCACTCTGTTCCTGGAGAGTCTCAGCTGATGGGCACCTGGCAGGGCATGACATCTGATGCTTCCCTCTCGGCCTGAAGCGTGGAGGTTGGAATGAGAAGGACACCTATGCTTTGTTTAGTAATTTCCATCTCTGGTCACTGTCTAGTTCTAGATAATTATATAATTATAGGTGATAGTTTTTAATAAGCATAATTATTTAGAAGTTTTTTTTGCAATCAGCAAAACTTTTTAAGTTTTACTCCTCACTACTATGATCAACAGTTAGTATCGAGTACCTATTATATGCTCATTTCCTGTTCTTGACATTGGAGATGTGGGATAAAGAGAACCAGCATGTAAGGCTTAGGTACGGGGAGGATTTCAGTCTGGGAACAGCAGATGCAAAGGCCCTGGGGCATGTTATTGCATCTTTCTGCTTTAGCAGGTAAATTATAGCATGTATAGCACTTGATCCTATGTGGAGAGCCATTCATCTGGGCTTTTGCTGTGCATTAAGGCTCAGCAGAGCTGGCTCACTGGAGTTGTGTGAGTGTGCGTGTGCTCTGGGGCTGACGACTGTCCCTGTTCCCTCAGCTCTATGTCTCCTCCGAGAGCCGCTTCAACACGTTGGCGGAGCTGGTTCACCATCACTCGACTGTGGCCGACGGGCTCATCACCACTCTCCACTACCCAGCTCCCAAGCGCAACAAGCCCACTGTCTACGGCGTGTCCCCCAACTACGACAAGTGGGAGATGGAGCGCACGGACATCACCATGAAGCACAAGCTGGGAGGAGGCCAGTACGGGGAGGTGTATGAGGGCGTGTGGAAGAAGTACAGCCTGACTGTGGCCGTGAAGACCCTGAAGGTAGGCCCGGGGCCCGGGACCCGGGACCCAGTCGGCGCCCGCAGAGCCGCCTCTGCTCCGGTGCCTGGGTGAGCTGTGGCGCAGTGTCTGCGGGGGGTGGGGAAGGGTGCCCCTTCCCAGGTGGCCTGCCTCCTGCATGCAGGTCCAGGGGGCTCCTTGGTGCCGAGGAGCTGATTCCTCAGTCTCCTGCCGCCTGTCTCTTTGTACATGTTGAGTCACTGTCATAATCTCAGTGTTTCCACATATGGTGAGAGCTGAGAAGGGCTGCGGTTTTTGGTGTAAAAAGATTAGTCATTTGGAGAGGTTTTTTCCACTGTATGGCAAGAGTCTCTTAAAGCCGTGGGTTTCCGTTCCGTTTGTGTCACGTTCGAATCACTTCCTATTGAGTTAAGGGGAGGAAGGAGGGAAATAAAATCCTTAAGTTTTGCGAGGAGATTTAACCAAAATGCGTTTGACATTTCTGTGGATTTTTGTTGGCAGGTTTGAAAGGCAAGTGCTGTTTATTTCCTAGCAGCGTCCTGTTCTCTTTACTGTGTGCCCAGATTTCTGGGATTAAGGAAACGTTAATGAAGGCTTCTTACTAACTCAGATCACCTAGCCCCCACCTTGTTATCTATGACTTTCATCCCCTTGACTAATGCACAGTGTGTGGCGTTTTCAGGCAGCTTGTTTTCCTGTTGAAGTTCTCTGAGATGTTTCGGTTGCCAGGGGAGGAAGTTTCAGTTTGCAGCCTTCCCAGAGAACTCTGTGCTTTCTCTATGGAGAGAGTGTCCTCTCCAGTCAACCTCTGTCATTTTCACTCGTTCTAAGTGAACTCTGGCTATGCGGATGGACGTGTGCACAGAGAGTGGGAGAGGGAGCTCCTTTCGTAACTAAAGAAGAACCAACACAGCCACTGCTGGGAAAATGGACCCCAGTCAGTCAGGTGCTCACAGTGAGACCTGGGCCCCCAGACGCTCCTCTTCTAGGGACTGGACCACCCCCCTGATACTCAGAGGCACAGTAAAATGTAAATACGACTTCTGGCTAATATAAAGTGTCACGTTAAAGAAAATACCAGAGGAGGTATTCTTAGCAACCAAAGGAGGCTTCCTAGCACTGTACTAAATGTGTCCCCTTAGAGATGTCCTTGGGGTGAGACTGACACTTATGTGTGTGGATGGGGGTGGCATGGTTTGGGGTCACCTTGAGGACTCCTGGGTATTTTCCAGATGGGATGTTTTATAGTTTTAATAAGCCTTCATTGAGTTCCTCGCTTCTGTTTGCCAGACCCTGGGCTTAATGAGAAATGGATTAGAGTTCTTCATGTCAGGCTGGTCTAGGTAGTTAGAATGGTCTAGTTAGTAGTAGACAGTCTAGTTAGTAGGAGAAACAGGCAAGTATAACAATAATTGTAGCACAGTGTGGTAAGGGCCACATTAGGCTCGAGCGTGGTGCTCTGTCACTTCACAGGAATGAACGGAGGGGCTGGTGAGCTCTGCTTGGCGGGAAGAAAGCAGGAAGAGAATCGGGAGCTGGGGCTGCAGTGAAGGAGTAAGCATTGGCCAAGGGCACAGAGGTCAGGAGAGGCAGGTGAGGACAGAGAGCTCACCAGTCAGAGGGCTAAACCTGGCCAAGGAGCTGGGATGTTATCCTGGAGGTAGTGGGGCCCGTCGAAGGGCTTGACGCACAGGCATATGACGAGGATTTGCATTTCACAGGGATGGCTATGTTGGTGGCCCTAGGAAGAACTGAACCACCATTGCCCCTCCACTCACAGATCGGGGAGTACAGGGAGGGGCGTTTGCTTGTGCTGCAGCATCTCAATTTGGTGCAAGTTGAGGACCTGGCCCAGTGACACTGCGCCTTGACCTGCTAATGGCCTGGGCATCACCCACACATTGGCCAGGATTTGCAAAATGAAACAAGGAAGGCTAAAAGTACAAAACACACTGAATTTCAGTCCAGACGAGACTCGTTTGAAACTTTAAGAGGTAGAGCTCGTACAACTTGAAATGTGAGGCAAATCCAGCCCCCAACCGAGGCTGTGGTGTTTCCTGAGCGACTGAAAAGGGGTTTCAGAGTGGGGACCTCCTGGAACTCAGTGTGGTGCCTGTGGTTTCTCATTCCAGTGAATCAGAATTATCTGGAAGAGGATGGTTATATACTTCTCTAATGATTTATTTTTGAACTTTATTGTATGCTTTTAATGATTTTCCCTAAGGGCCTTATTAACTTATAGTCCCAAGTTACAGCATCTTGTTGCATGGAGTTCTGTGAGCAGTCACCCCAGGTGGTAGCCATTTAGGGAAAGGGAAATGCATCATCGTCTAGAGGAATGTTCACCCAGAACATGGTACTAAGCAACTACTAAATAAACTATCCCTCCTTCCCCTCACCCTGCACAGAGAACATGTCTGTGTCAATAATTTGAGCACGTATCTCCACTGTAGAGGTTGGGGACTTGGAGTGGGCTCTCAGTGACAGCAGTGGCTGATGCTTACTGAGCTCCTACCACGTGCCTGGCAGGGTTCTGAGCGCCTTGCATATAGCATCTCAGTTAAACCTTACAGCAGCTTTAAGAGAAGGGTAGTGCTGTTACCACCATGTCTAGGTTGAGAAAACCGAAGCAGAGGGAGGCGGGGTAGCTGGCCTGGAGCTACATGCCAGGTGCGGCAGAGCCGAGCTTCAGACCCAGGCACCCTGCTCCAAAGCCCAGAGACTGTTCTTTTGTCACTCATATACCATGAAAAATATGCACGAACCACAGGCACCCTAAAAATCACCTTTTCTCCCCTTTCCCATTAACTTCCCCACAGGCTGTAGCCATGGTCTGCCTTCTCTTTAGGGCTCCTTGGAAAACCCTTGCAGCTGTAGCCCTGGTGGTCCTTCCTCAGCGCCACTTTGTGCGGGACCGCACTGGGCCCCGGAGTCTGTCTTCTCCCCATCCCTCTCCCTCAGAGGGCTGAGCCAGCGCCTCCTTCACCAGCAGGGGGAGCAAAGCCCCGCTTTAACCGTGACTCCTGATTGAACCACTCGGTGGCCCTGGGCCCTGTGCCTTCAGGGCGTAATGAAGACCAGAGCACAGGAAAAAAGGCGGCACGAGGCTGACCCCTAGGGGTGGGAAGCTGGGATTGCAGACGACGCCCACTGATGGGGAAACTGGCTGCTCTTGCAATTTTGACAATATTCTGTGTGTGGTAGGCTTCACTTGACCCTTGTTAAAGGCAGGATGTGCCTAAGAGAACCAGCTGCCAAGTACAAAAAGCCCCAAGTCTCACACGAGCTGTGTGCCACATTAGTTTGTAAGTCAGTTTTTCTCCTGTGAAACAATTGTATAAGTTATGGAATTTGGAAAAAACTACTGTTAGTCTAGTTGTGGCATTAAGATTGAATCGTAAGCTAACTCTATAATTTACCATTAAAATAGTGGAACATAACATTGTTATAAAATGTTGACTTAAAATTGTACCCAGTTCTTTACCTATTTTTCAAATAGGTGAGATATGCACAGTCTCCTCTATCCGTGATTTTCATGTCTTTCCAGAAATAGTCCACATGTGCATCATTTGTAACCATGTGGCAGCATGTTACAGACACTGCTCCGCACCTCTTGGTGTCCATGTAGCATAATGATAGCTGTTCCCTGTCGGTACACACCAGGCTACCTCACCTTTGTGTGGCTGTGTTTCAGTACGCACCAGCCCTCAGTGGACATCTGGGTTCTTTCTAGTACTTGGCTATTACAAGCAATTGCCCCGGGGTTGCTCTTGTTTGCACATGTGGCTGAGTGTCCTGATGGGTCAGTTCCCTGAGTAGAACTGCTGGGTCAGGGCCACGTGCGTTCATGGTTATGATCGTACTCCAGGTGCCTCCCAAGGCCCTGCACCCTGCCGGCAGCGCCGAGCAAGTGCCTGTTCACTGTCCCTCACCAGCTCAGTTTATTTGGTTTGGGTTTTATTTTTGTCATTCTCCCCTAGGGGGTTGGTTTTATTGGAGAGCTCCAGAAACAAGGAAGGAAGGAAGGGTCCACGACAGCACTGACGGTGGACAACCCATACTGTGGCTTCCCAACTTCACAGAGGGCCGTGCCCCCAGAGAGGCCACGCAGCCTGGAGCCCACTGTTGCCATGCGCACTTGGCTGTGCCGTGGCCTCTCTCCTGGATGTAGAGCTGGATACAGCGGCGATGTTGGGGATCGGAGTTCTGGGGGCTTCCTCTTTGGGGTGGTTTCTCGGCATTTTGCTTGGGCTTCAAGTCCCACATCAGGTTTGTGAACCACCTTCCTCAGCTGAGTGCAGGAACTCTGCCCCAGCTTCCCAGTGTTTTAAACATGTCTGCCCTGGTCTGCCTGGGTGAGGGATGGTACTTCCCTGTAGTTGTAACCTGTTCGCCCAGCATTTGGGTAAGAACCAGAAATATGTGGAAACTAATCTCACACCAGGAGTTCTGGTCCAGGGCCAGGGGTCCCCGCTGAGAGGGAGGCAGCGAGAGCCCTGAAAGCTGTGCTGCACCAGCGGGATGTGGAGCTGTCTTTAAAACGGTGCTTTCTGTGACGTGGAATACCTGCAGTGAGCACATGAGGAAGCCGGTTGGAACTTACCTGTGAGATGTTGAGTCCAGGAGACTGTATCTGTGAGAAAAACAGAAAACAGTGAAAAGGGCTAATGCTTGTCTTCCTTACAAGCAACATATTCAGTCTGCTTCTCAGGAGTAGAGACCAGGTGTCTTCATAATTAAAGTGTGTTCCGCTAAGAGGGTCCTGACCATGGTCTGGGCCCTGCACTTGGCGCCCTGTGCATCAGGTGGACACTCCTGTTCTTCCCATCCTGTAGATGAGAAAGTGGCGGGTCAGAGATGACCTCTGTGTTACCTGTTGTGTTACCTGCCATGGCCACACAGTGGCAGAGCCTGGTCGGCACAAGTAGGCGGCCATCCTCTTGCCCTCTCAGCTGTACCAGGGAAAAAGTTTGCCCACATCTGGGCTGGGCCCATCAGTCCTCATGAAGAGAGGCCAGATGGACCATCTCTCTCCCTAACAGACAAGCCTGAAGTTCACAGCTTTTACTCAAAAGTGTTGCCTTCACCCTGATTAATCTGAGTTAGTTTTATTCTATGTAAATGGAAGAATTATCTTCAAAAACATGGTGGAAAGTTTTAAAATAGCAGTGAAGGAATATAACAGGGTAGCACCCGGGATATTTCTAGTTTAGCACAGCTTCATGTACTGTGCTGTTAGCAGTTTACATCATAAACTGAACCAGGTCTGATTCCAGCAGGGGGAGAGAAGTCACACCTACTCCTGAAAAGGGAAAACACACACCCAAGGGTTTACTTATACTGTGCACATGTGTGCATGCAGGTGTGTGAACGATTAGAGAGAGAAAGACATGAGGAGTGTCCGTGAGAGCTGTATTGTTCTTTGTGCAGGTTCAGGTCTCAGGATCTAGGACACGGTTCTTTTAGAAAAGAGCCAGGAGCTGTAAGAGCAAATGATGTTTCTGAAATTATTTCACCGTGGGTGGTTTATTATGTGGCTCTTTAAACTTGAAAAACTCCACGTGTCTAGAATACTTCACAGGAGAGCTGCTTTTTCAACATATTCTGGGCCAAGCAAGATTCGTAAAGCCCTTGGACCCTACATGAGCAGTGTTGAGCCCCCTGACTCTGGCAGGTGTTCACCCTCCAGCCATCGATACTAGTCTGTCACCTGGCGAATCATAGCACCTCACGCCCAGAACGCCAGTGGCTGGCTGAGCATGTTGAGGAGCAGAGAGGACTCAGAAGAATTAAACAGCCAGTGGGGTGGCAGCAGGGATGAGTCCTTTCCCCCACATAGCTTGACACAGAGATGACTGACGAGGTTTAATTGAATTTACGGCAGCTTGGCGTTTTTAAAGAGCAGTAAATTGTTTCTAAGTTTCAGCCTCACAGAGCCCTAAGCAGAGCGATAATGGGCTGGCACATAACTCATCCGTCACACTTTGCTTGTAAACACATAGACCAAAGCAAGAAAGCGCTGAGAAAGGCTGGCTCGCCCTCTGGGAATCTTCCCTAAGGTACAGTCAGGTGAGGACAACAGTTAGGACACTTTAGGTCTTCGTCTCCAACGGGGCAGGTGCAGTGTACAAAGCATTCTCTCGGGGGAACCTAGTTTCCAAGGAGTCACTCCCCATCTCCCCTGCAGTCTTTCTCTTCAGAATAACTTACTCCATATTGAAAGTTGGAGGGTGGTGTCTTGCTTCCCTCATTGGATTTCGTGGCCAGGTTCTCACAACAAACAGACCATGTCATTTACCACCACCTGCTTCCTGTTTTGAGGACAGTGGATCCTTTAAGTCAAAAAGAGGTTTACCACCCTAGCTGGTTTTGCTCAGTGGTTAGAGCGTCAGCCCGCGCAGACTGAAGGATGTGGGGTTCGATTCTGGTCAAGGGCATGTACCTCGGTTGTAGGCTTGATCCTGGCCCCAGTTGGGGCATATGTGATAGGCAACCAACCGATTTGTCTCTCTCACATCAATGTTTCTCTCTCTTTCTCTCTCTCTCTTTGAAAGAATATTCTTGGGTGAGGATTGAAAAAAAAAGGTTTACCCAGCATAAGCCACAGCAAGGCTCTTGTGAAACAGGGCCGCCGCACTGTGCACTGGAGCCTAGAGCTGCAATATTCAACCTTCTTCATCCCATGGCACACATGCAGACTAATTACTGAAGTTCTGCGGCACACTTAAAAAATACATATATCTTGCAGATCTGACCCAAAAAAGGTATAATTTTTATTTATTCACACCAGATGGCTATTGTTGTGTTGGTGGTTGTCATTTTTTTATCTGACAATCTACGGGAAGAAAGGTTGAAAATCTCTGGTCTAGTCTCAGAATATGTGAGGAAATGCAGAAGTGTCCATCACATTTGCTCTGGGCATTTGCTACTGTCTTTGTCTCCCCTCGGCATTCAGCTCCCTTGAATGTGCTTCTAAGACTCGTGACTGTTAGGGAAGCAGCTCGCGAGGATCGCTTTAGCATCGGAGTAATTGACCCGACAGACAGCGGTGACTGCTTCATTAAGAGCCCGCAACACCGCATCCTTAGGCAGTCTCACATCCTCTCATTCCGCCATATCTTGAGACATGGTTCTTCTTTGGTTGGCAGTCCAATATTATTTTGTATCATCAGGGTCTCTTCCCTTAAATCAGGTACATTTCAGATTCTTTGAGTGATTTTTTTTTTTACGTTATACATTTTAGGACCCCTCGAAAACCAGCTGTTCCTTAGAGAAATAGTACCATGTTTGTGGCCTTTGCCTGAGCACATCTCCCTCACCCCCACACACTCCACAAGGTGGTAGAAACAAATACAGTTTGTGCAGCAGCCACCAGAAGCAAGTCGCCAGCAATACAGGCAGCCCTGACTCATTGCCCTGGAGGAGAATTCGGAAGCTCAGCAGCCAAGGGGAACATCTGTGCAGTCGAGGCCACGACCAGCTGCCATGGAGCCCATCCGGAGTGGGGTGGAGGTCGAAACTGGTTGGCCGGGGTGATTGTTCATCGAGGATCCTGCGCGTACTAACCATTCACGGTGTACTTTCCTGTTCAGACACATTCCTTGCTGAAATAACTTTCCCCTTTTTTCTCTGCAGGAGGACACCATGGAGGTGGAAGAGTTCCTGAAGGAAGCGGCGGTAATGAAGGAGATCAAGCACCCTAATCTGGTGCAGTTGCTTGGTGAGTGTGTGCAGCTCCCACTGAGCCCTCGGGCAGCACAGGTGCTGTTGGAGCAGAGGGGGCGGCTGACTGCATTGGGACCCTGAGCTGGACCTTGTCCTCTCTACCAGCATTCAGTCACCTCCTTCCCCAGCACGGGTAAAGGAGGCCCACATGGGATTGTGTGTGGTTGGGGTGGGGAGGGATGTGGAAGAGAATGTTATTACTTTAAATCGATACCTAAAAGCAGTCAAGCTCACATTAGCTTCTGAAACTTAAGGCTTTTTAACGTTTCTTCCCTGGAGTGATTCTGTAAGTAGACAGACATAACCATGGGACATAACCATCAGGGGTGAACTAACAGTGGTTTAGGCAATTGATGTGGGCCCGGCCTTCACTTCTGAGCTCACTGAAAGCCCCTTCCCGTGTAAGTTCACTGGCTTGAGAGGAAGAAGAGAGAGTGTGTCCCACAGGAGCACAATCTCAGGTCACAAGCTCCTGGAGCCATGTTGGGAGCTGGCCCAGGACTTCAGGGCAGAGTCAGCATCCATTTCAGAAGCGTTTTCCTTTAGTGCCAGTTTGTTCGGACATTTGTTCAGTTGGGATAAAGTGGCTCCCTGAAGACCTCGATGTCTTGTTGGCAGGGGTCTGCACCCGGGAGCCCCCCTTCTATATAATCACTGAGTTCATGACCTATGGGAACCTGTTGGATTACCTGAGAGAGTGTAACCGGCAGGAGGTGAATGCTGTGGTGCTGCTGTACATGGCCACTCAGATCTCGTCAGCCATGGAGTACCTGGAGAAGAAAAACTTCATCCACAGGTAGGAGCCTGGCCGTGGAGTGAGCTTGGGGCCCTGGCATCCTTCTGCAAGAAGCCCCAGCCTCTGAGGACTTCGGCCCAGCCTCTAACTTAGTGCCGGCAGTATATTAGACCTTGACACTAAGGCCAGCCCTGGGTTCCTGACATTGCCGGCTCAGGCGTGCCAAAGTCTAGGGCTAGATTCAGCCAGGCCTAGACTCTGGACCAGTGGAGCAGTTAATCCTCGGGTAAGAAACATCTCACTTTGGAACCATTTTGGACTAAGTAGAACATTAGATGATTCTTCAGAGGCGTCCTCCCTGGTAGCCACAGCGCGCTCTGAAGTGGGAGCTTGCTCATGGTCCCTCGAGGCCCGGCGTGTCCTAATGACCTTCCTGAGAGCGGCGTCACTGTTACTCAGACTGGCGGTAACAGCCAGTGCATGGGTTTTGTTTCTGCGTCGCATTTGTTTTTTCCCCTCCCTTCTTTTTATTATCATTTCCTTCTCCACTTAACTTGCTGTCGTCTGGTTCGGCAGTTCTTGCACAATCGTCAGAATTGTGTGTCTGTGGTTCTCAATTAGCGCCTTTGCCATTTTAAAGCCTGGAGTGCTCTGACCTTCAGGCGTGCCGCAATTACCGTGGCCTCCGCATTCTTCAGTGGTGGAAAGGGCCTCCTAGCAGAGTGACAGCCTGTGCAGGATGGAGCCTAATGGGCTTTGCCGGAGCCTTTTATACGGGATGTTCTCCACGCCACTGTGTGACCTTTCCTACCCAGTTAACTCGAGTGTGAGACCCACGCGTGAGATTTCCTAGCGAGGAACAGGAGCGGCGTGTGTGAAGTGCTGGCAGTTCCTTGTAGGATAGGTTTTCCATGCTCTGCGGGACCCCGATTCAGGTGCTCCTGTCACACAAGGATAAAACCCTCTGAGGCTGCAAATTGAGATTTCTTGACTCCAGGTTTGCCTTGCACAGCTAGGTCCGTCTGTTCTCTCTTCATTTGGGCAAACTTAAAATCCGTTACCAAAATCCTATTAGGCACAGCTCCTCTGTATTTAATTTCCCTCTGATTGCTGGTGTGCGGCATTGTGTTAGCTGCTGCCTCTTCTCACTCCTCCATTCCTGTTTGCCTCGGGATTTCATGGCTATGTCCTTGAACCAAAAATTAGACTCCTACCTCCCCGGTAGATTTGGGAGGCAAGAGGAAGCTGGTTACATAGGAGAGAAGCCTTGGGATACATTTGGATAAGCACTGGGGAGAAAGAGGAAAGTAGGAAACACAATTTGGGCAAAGAAAGCAGTGGGCTTTGCTTTACTTTGTCCACCTGTCTGGACAAGAGTGTGGAGACTCAGGACAGCCTGTGTGCTTGCTCCTGGTTCCTGCCTAGAGCAGTGAGAACCAGACAGACGCTTAGGTGACACATACTCTTCTCGGCATCAGTTGAAGCACTTTACCTATTAATTACCACTGAAAACAACCCTAAGAAGTAGGTGCTGTGTTATCCTTTTTGTTTTCTGGGTGCGGTAGCTGAGTCCCAGCGTAATGACCTTGCTCCAGGTCACAGGGCCAGGGAGTCTGCCCCCCCCTTGCCCCTCTGCTGCCTCTCACCATGCTGGGAGCCCAGGTGGGTGCTGAGTTAACAGAAGCTCCTGGGGGACCAGACTCCCATTGTCCATTGTTGGTGGTGGGTTTGTGACGTTGGAAAGATAGGCAGGGACTCTCACAGATAAACATTTTCCTTTCTCAGAGATCTCGCTGCCCGAAACTGCCTGGTAGGGGAAAACCACTTGGTGAAGGTGGCTGATTTCGGCCTGAGCAGGTTGATGACAGGGGACACCTACACTGCCCACGCTGGGGCCAAGTTCCCGATCAAGTGGACTGCACCCGAAAGCCTGGCCTACAACAAATTCTCCATCAAGTCCGACGTCTGGGGTAAGGGCCACTCCAGTTCCCCCCCCCTCCCCCCCCGTCGCCCGGCCAGGGTGTGGCTTCTTTTACCTGTTTTCCTCTCCTGCTTTTTCACGGCCCTTTCTCCCCATCACTGAGTTCTCTCTTTTGCTCGTTTCTTTTTCTTCTAAAAATCTTTTCTTCCCTGTTCTCTCTCCAGAGTGAAGTAAAAGGGAGCTTTTTCTTCTGAAATAATTCAGATTAACTTACCACCTCTGTCTTTGTGCTAAGTTTGTTGCTTGGGTTTGCGGGGGCAGCTTGCCTACCGTGTAGGCGCCAGAGGTCTCCGGGGGAATGCTGTGTGGTGTGGTTTGGGCTTTCAGTAGGATACTCCCCTCTGAAGCCTCCTATGACACTGTTGTGTTTTTACATTTTTAAAGAACTTTTTGTTGTGGCAAATTATAAGCATACCCTGAAGAAGACAGACCTGCCTAATGAACCCGTGGCAACCATCACCAGCTCTGCTAATCACCCACCACCTCTTGCTCCTCTGTGCCCCGCCCACACCCCTGGCCCTTTGAAGCACATCCCAGACATGATGCTGTTTGGTCCGGAAGTATTTCAGTACGAGCCTCTTAAAGATGGCATTTTTATCCTCATGCCCACAGTGCCCCTCCTCCTGAAACTGACAGCAATTTCCAAATATTATCAAGGATCCAGTTAGTGCTCAAATTTCCCCAATGAATCATAAAAGTCATACTTTTCTTTGCAGTCTATTTGAATTGAGATTGAAATACGGTTCACACGGGATTAGTTGGCCTGTTGCCTAAAACCCCTTAACCCGTGAGCTCCCTCTCCGTCTCACTTCCCTTGCTGTTCGTTTGTTGAAGAGATCCTGTGCTTGTCCTCTAAAGCCTCCCTCAGCCTGGATCTTGCTCACTGTGCCTGCGGCCTGCCTCCGATGCCCCTCTCCCCAGTATTCCTGGTAAGGGCAGCTGGGTCTGAACAGCTGGGCCACAGTCGGATTGACCTTTTCCTTTCAGTCAAGAGTTCTTCATGGGCGATGGTGTGCGTTTTCATCAGTAGGTACATAATTCTTGATTTTCTCTCTTTTTTATGACCTTAGCAGTTACTGACACCCAGCACCTAGATCCACTAATTATTAGGGGTTAGTTACCAGATGGTAGTTTTCTAATCTCTCATTTCTTACTCACTTATTAGCTCAGTGGTTCTGTGAGAAGAAACTTCCCCTCACCTACTGTTGGTTACTCAGGATAGACGTTTGCTTTCCCGCCATCACTTACTAGTTTTCACAGTAAGAAATTGGTTTCTTAATACTCCACGATGGTGACCAATTTGATTTTTGTTTGTTTTTTTGTGTGTGATATAAAGAACTCACGTATATAACGTGTTTAAATACATTTGATGTGTTTTAATCTGCTCGGTTATTTTTCTTATTGATGCTCAGATTTCACCTTTGGCCGGTGGAAACTCATGTTGCTCCTGGTCTTCTTGACAAGATCCTTGTAGCTTTTGTACCATCAGTGCTGTCCGCAATGATAAGATATTTTGGATTCCTTCCCTGCCCGAGACCTGAGCGACCCATTTCTCTGGGAAGTCAGTTCTGCTTCCTTTGGTGGGATCAGGAATTCCAAAGCTGTACTGGGGGCCTGCAAAACTTCCAAAGATCTTACAAGATTTTTGTGAAATTTTTAGAGTTCAAAGGGGCCTTAGAGATAATCTCATACTCCAGAAAGGGGCGGTGGCTTGTTGTAATTAAGCACATAGCCAGTTGCTCACAGAGCTAGGGGTAGAAATAGCCTGATCTCTAGCCCTAGATTCCCTCCACCACCTGTCCCAGCAGGATTGCCACATTACCTGCAGTACCCTGGAGGGGTTCATCAGCCGGGTCTCCTCTTTCCCCATGTGTTCTGGTCTGTGGGGTGGGTGAACTGAAGGTTTCAGTCTGCCCTGGGCTGTTGGTAATTAAGAGCCTGGTAAAATGTCAGCATCTGGCCTGCTTTGAGGGTATAACTTCTGTTGTCTACTGCACAGGTAACCAATTTTAAATGCAGGAGACTTAAATCTTATATATTTCAAATAACCTTTCTCTTGTTTTTCCCCAGCATTTGGAGTACTGCTTTGGGAGATTGCTACCTATGGCATGTCACCTTACCCAGGAATCGACCTGTCGCAGGTTTATGAGCTGCTAGAGAAAGACTATCGCATGGAGCGCCCGGAAGGCTGTCCCGAGAAGGTCTACGAACTCATGCGAGCATGTGAGCCTCCCCTGCCAGTTCTGAAAATTACGTGTGGGCTTTGTAAAGCATTCCACTGCAGGAGTGTACATGCACAGTAAAAAACTAGAGCATTATATCGCCTCTCTTCATTCCCAGTCTTCAGAGCAGTGAATGGAACAGTTTGATACAAATTTTTGTAGCCTTTTTTCACTTTTTCTCTATACGTTTATTTATACATAGTATTTATATTTGAGGGTTTTTTGTTTGTTTTTGAATATTGCGATTGATGCATACCAAACTGGGATTTCTTTTTAATAAATACAAGTTCCTGGACTTACCTTCAAACATCTGCTATAGTAGGTAGATGTTCCAGGGGACGTTTATCTGGTTGGTTTTATTATATATATATATAAAATCATTTTTGCAACTTTGTTTGTACTTAGCAGTGTAATCGACCTACCTTTCTATGTCCATAATCCAGAGATTTCTCCTCCCTGCTTGTTTTTTTTTTAAAAACATATCTTTATTGATTTCAGAGAGAGGAAAGGAGGGGGAGAGAGAGAGAGAAACATCAACGATGAGAGAGTCATTGATCGGTTGCAGCCCACAACCTGGGCATGTGCCCTGACCGGGAATCTAACCCCAGTCTCCTGGATCCTAGGTTGATGCTCAACCCCTGAGCCACACCTGCTGGGCTCCCTACTTATTTTTAATCTAGCTGTTGAGCATCCCATGAATGACTTACCCATTCACCCAGTCCTTTTGATGAACATTTGGTGATTTTACACATTGGTTTGGGTTTTGCTGTGATAAGCAAGGTAGGAGTGAGCACCCTCACATACGCACCTCTGTGTTTACTGGTATTGCTGAAAATTGAACTGTTGGCTCAAAGGGCATGTGTGTTTTATGTTTTGATAGATTTTCCCAAACTGTTTTCCAGAAAAGGTTGTACCAATATATACTCCCACCAGAAGTATGTGTGAGTGACTCCCATCCTCACAGCTCTGGCCTGGCCAGTCCGCAGCCCTCGGTCACATCTTGCTCTGACCGCCGTGTCTTTTTGGATGCGGATTTCGGGCTTTGGTAACCATGAAGTAGGGGTGAGCTGCTTGGCTTAGTAGTTCCCTGTAATTGCTAGAGGGGAAAATATATTTGGAAATGCAGTTCTGGCAGTCAACATCTCTCTGGGGTTTTACAACCCATATTCCTGCCAATATCTACAGTTCTCTCAAATTCTTAACGCCCGTAATAGGACACGATGGCATTCGTCACTTTAACTTGTCACACTAAAAGATGAGTAGCAGGAGCGGAACACTTCTTTCATTTCTAGACTTTTCCTTGGGAATTGCTAGCCACACACGTGTTGGCAAGGCCCCGTGGGTGGTCTGACTGAGGTCTCATCTGTCCAGGTTGGCAGTGGAATCCCTCTGACCGGCCCTCCTTTGCTGAAATCCACCAAGCCTTTGAAACAATGTTTCAGGAGTCCAGCATATCAGATGGTAAAGTGCCCATCCTTGGGGTGCCTGCCGTGCGGCGAAAGGTTGGGGTAGGAGGGACGGCTGTGGGGGAGGGGACTCTAGCTCTGCTCCTTCAGTTCACTTCCAGGGAGAAGTGCAAGGGCCAGGAAGTTATCTGAGGCCAGAAAGCTGGACAGCAGTGTTGAGTGTGGAGTGCTCTGTCGTAGCCATGCAGGATTCTGAAAACTATTCAGTGCCGTTTCTTTATCACCTGTATCTCTTTTCTGTAAATGTGTGTAGATGACCACTGTTACTGTAAAAAGCAAAAGAAAACCAACATACCAAAATGACACCACTGCTGATGGCTGCTGGTTTTTGTGTGTGTGTTTGTTTTTGGTGGTTCTTAGAAGTGGAAAAGGAACTGGGGAAAAAAGGCATGCGAGGGGCTGCAGGTACTTTGCTGCAGGCCCCAGAGCTGCCCACCAAGACAAGAACCTCCAGGAGAGCTACGGAACACAAAGATTCCACCGACGTGCCTGAGATGCCCCACTCCAAGGGCCCAGGAGAGCCTGGTAGGTCTCCACCCCATCCCCACCGGAGGCCAGGGCCAGGGTGGCACGTGGGAAGCAGTGAGTGGAACCTGCCCAGAGAGGCAGGCAGATCCCATGTTAGACTTGCGTTGGAAGGAAGGTTCTCCTCTCTCCGCAGCACAGCTCCTCTCTCCCCACTCCCACTGCCCGGGAATCATTAGGAGCCATTGGCTTGGCTCCAGCAGTCAGTCACATGGGCAGAGGTGCTTACAAAACCTGAGAAAGGAGCCCACCTTGTCATGTGTCGTTCACAGCTGTGGCCCAGAGTGAGTGTCCTGCCTGGCCTCTGAGAAGTGAGAGGGAGATGGGAGTGGTTCAGGAGGGATCTTGATAGTATCAGGGTTGGATCTGGTGCCTCCTGTGTGTCAGGTTGTATTCAGAGTCAGGCTGCTTTGACGTAGCAGTTGCCCCCCTGCACCCCAAACCCCACAAGCCCGGGTCCTAGTGCAGACCAGTGGCAGAACGAAAGTGTTGGAGGAGGGCCATCGTCGGGTTTGTAGAGGATGCTCTGATGGACCACAGACTAAGTGGGAAGGGACAGGACAAAGCCAGAATTATGGGATGTCTTGCCACAGTAGAATCTATAGAACCATGATTCCCAAGTTTTCTTGTTTTTTAATGTTTTTATTGAGTCTAGAGAGAGGGGGGCAGAGAGGGAGAAAAACATCGTTTTGAGAGAGAAACATTGATTGGTTGCCTAATGCATGCGCCCCAACCAGGGAGCGAACTTGCAACCTGGGTATGTGCCCTGACCAGGAATCAAACCTGCGATCTTTCTGTGTACAGGACTATGCTCCAACCAACTGAGCCACATCAGTCAGGGCCCAAGTTTTTCTAATTATGTACCCATATTAAAGAAAAATTGAGTGTGTAGCGCATATATGTGTGTGTGTGTGTGTATGTATATACACGGACACACATACATATGTATATAGAGAGAATATATACGTATGTACTATTGCACAGATATATTAAGTATATTATAAAACATATATGTAAAAGTTTATCTGAGAAATACATCCACATTACGGTGCTTTTTTTCCATACCCCCAATCACCTTGCTCTGCCTACTTTGGGGGCCATGGGGCATAAACAGTCCAGAACCTTAGACCCTTTGTCCTTCTGTTAGTTGTGATTTCAGGTAGTTGAGCAATGGGGAGGAGCCACTGTGGGAACTCCAGGCTTACGAAACGGCCCGTGGGTAACAGTCATGTTCGTTTGTGCCCATCGGTGTTCACCGTCAGGGGTATCCTGATATATAATCTCAGGAAACCAAAAACGTCAGCTGCTCAGCACTGGGATACTGCTGTGCAGAGCGTGTGAATCCCACCTTCTTTGCCCTCTTCCGCTGGCTCACCGTTTTGGGAGGTCCTGGGCTCTCCCTAAGTCCCATGTCCTGCATCCCACCTGGTATTCTGGTAAATGCCACTTGTACCTCTGCTCTGAGCTACGAGGTGTGACAGAAACCTCTCTCCCTGCAGCTGCCCCCGAGGAGAATTCTGTCAGTCACTAGCAAGGAGCTTGGCAACACCAGAAAGACTCCTTAGAAGCTATTGTTCATATTTAAAGAGTGTCCATTTAAAAATTTTAAAAGGTCACCCCTGCTTGTTTCCTGAGCATAATAGCCTGTTGACACTGTGCCCCGTGGGCGTGTCCCTTTCCCTCCAGGACATACCTCATGAGGTCTTAGGCACCTCAACCCCCTGGCTGGTCTGAGATGCACAGGTCTGACCCTTTGCTTGGCCTTGTCATGGTTTTTACTTAACAGATGTGGGGGGTACTCTGCTGATTTAAAGAAAAGCAGTGCAGGGATAAGGGGCCAGAGTCACCCCAGCTCTCCCCTGCTGTCTTCAAGGAGAGAGACCTGAGCTTTTCCTCATAAGAATACTAACGACAGTGACAACAGTTAGAAGTGATGCCCACGTTCATTACTGCGTGGCATTCTCCCAGCAGTGCTGCAGATTGGCTTATCCGAGTTTCACGGGTGGGAAGGCCGAGGGTGAGGGAGAAAGTATCTTGCCCAGGCCCGTGGCTGCAAGCAGCAGAGGCAATCACACCGGCCCCTGCAGAGCGTGGGAGGCCAGCCCCAGGGCCTGGCCTACCAGGAGCTTCTAGCCTGGGTTTGTTCACCCTTCCCCTGTGTTTCAGATCCTCTGGACCATGAGCCTGCCGTTTCTCCATTGCTCCCTCGCAAAGAGCGAGGTCCTCAGGAGGGTGGCCTGAACGAAGAGGAGCGCCTCCTCCCCAAAGACAAGAAGCCCAATTTGTTCAGCGCCTTGATCAAGAAGAAGAGGAGGACGGCCCCCACCCCTCCCAAGCGCAGCAGCTCCTTCCGGGAGATGGATGGCCAGCCTGAGCGCAAGGGGCCCACAGAGGAAGAGGGCCGTGAAGTCAGCAATGGGGCGCCTGCTCTCCCGCCCTTGGACCCAGCTGAGCCAGCCAAGTCCCCAAAGCCCAGCAGCGGGGCTGGTGTCCCCAATGGAGCCTTCCGGGAGTCGGGGGGCCCAGGCTTCCGGTCTCCCCACCTGTGGAAAAAGTCTAGCACGCTGACCAGCGGCCGATTAGCAGCCGGTGAAGAGGAGAGTGGAAGCAGCGCCAGCAAGCGCTTCCTGAGGTCCTGCTCTGCCTCGTGCGTGCCGCACGGGGCCAAGGACACGGAGTGGAGGTCCGTCACACTGCCCCGGGACCTGCAGTCCACGGGAAGGCAGTTTGACTCGTCCACTTTTGGGGGGCACAAAAGTGAGAAGCCTGCTCTGCCCCGGAAGCGGGCGAGTGAGAACAGGTTTGACCAGGTGACCAGGGGCACAGTGACGCCCCCACCCAGGCTGGTGAAGAAGACGGAAGAGGCGGCCGATGAGGTCTTCAAAGACCCGACGGAGTCCAGCCCGGGCTCCAGCCCTCCCAGTCTGACCCCAAAACTCCTCCGAAGGCAGGTTGTGGTGGCCCCTTCCTCTGGCCTGCCCCATAAGGAAGAGGCTGGCAAGCCTGGTGCCTTGGGGACACCTGCTGCAGCTGAGCCAGTGCCCCCCACCAGCAGAGCGGGACCAGGCGCGTCTGGAGGGGCCAGCAAGGCCCCCGGTGAGGACTCTAGAATGAGGAGGCACAAGACCACCTCCGAGTCCCCAGGGAGAGACAAGGGGAAGTTGTCCAAGCTCAAGCCTGCCCCGCCGCCCCCACCACCAGCCTCAGCCGGGAAGGCCGGGAGGCCCTCTCAGAGCCCAAACCAGGAAGCAGCCGGGGAGGCGGGCACCAGCGGGAAAGCAAAATCCTCGGCTGTGGTTGTGGATGCTGTGAACGATGCTGCCAGACCCAGCCAGCTGGGAGAGGGCGTCAAGAAGCCTGTGCTCCCGTCCATGCCAAAGCCGCAGTCATCCACCAAGCCAGCTGGGACCCCCACCAGCCCAGGCCCCACTGCCCCCACGTTGCCATCAGCATCCTCCGCCCTGGCAGGGGACCAGCCGTCCTCCACCGCCTTCATCCCTCTCATATCGACCCGCGTGTCTCTTCGGAAAACCCGCCAACCTCCTGAGCGCATTGCGAGTGGCACCATCACCAAGGGCGTGGTCCTGGATGGCACCGAGGCCCTGTGCCTTGCCATCTCCAAAAACTCCGAGCAGATGGCCAGCCATAGCGCCGTGCTCGAAGCTGGCAAAAACCTCTACACCTTCTGCGTGAGCTACGTGGACTCCATCCAGCAGATGCGCAACAAGTTTGCCTTCCGCGAGGCCATCAACAAGCTGGAGAATAGTCTCCGGGAGCTTCAGATCTGCCCGGCGACAGCGGCGAGTGGCCCAGCGGCCACGCAGGACTTCAGCAAGCTCCTCAGCTCTGTGAAAGAGATCAGTGACATCGTGCAGAGGTAGCAGAAGCCAGCGCCGGGCCAGCCAGTGCCGCCTGCCATGCGTGAGGGCTCCCCCATGTCCGTGACGGTGGCTGACGGGACCAGTGATCTGGGACCTTGGCCCCGGAGCTGAGGGCCACCCTGGAGTACAGCCCTACTACCTACATGTGCACCAACTGTCCTCTTGCACTTGCCGCCTCCTCAGCCCACCCGCTGGGCCCTCTGTCCGAGTTCTATCTGTGGAGTCCCGCCTGGTGGACTGCGGTCGCCATGCCAGCCCCTTCCCTGTAGGGCACTTCAGACTGAGCCCTTCGGGCCAGCTGGGAAGGTGGGCGAGCGTCTCCCCTTCGTGTTTCTTTCTGGAGGATTTCCTCTGGCTCCGCCTTCTCCTCAGCTTTCCCCAACAAGTGCCCTGAATGGGAGCTGTGTCACCATGCCTTGGGGACTGTTACCTTCACACACCTGGTGGAAGGAGCCTGTCCCCTCTTCCTCCTGCCACTTGAGACGCATTTGCAGAACTGCATCCTGGGAGGCCCTGCCTGGGCCACTCTGCCTCCACTGCTCTGGGCTGGTGCCCTTCCACTTCCTCACGGGCAGGACAGCTCTCATTTGGGGGTAAAACAGGGTGCTAACACTAGCCAGCCTTTGGGTCCAGGAAGGGGGGGACTGGAGAGGCCCACGGTGGGGGACTGTCCTGTCATCCTCTGTGTGTCCTCAGAGCCCAGTTCCTGCTCTCTTGTGACGTGCACTGCTGATCCTGGATGGAAGCTTGAGTCTTAAGGGAAGCAGGTCGCAGTCCAGCACACAGGGACGGGATGCAGGAGGAGTGGCTTGTGGGTGAACAGCTGGTGCTGAGGTGGCCTGGGGTTGGGCCTAGGCGGGTCTTTGGTGGTCCCAGTGTTACCTTCTTTTTGAATTTCTAGGTGCCCTGAAAAAGGCACTTGATCTTGATTTCTGACCGATCTTCCTGTCCCCTGTACTCCCCTAAGACACAGCAGATTCTTGCAGGGCTCTTTCCTGTGTGAGAAGACAGTTCTCAGCTTTCTGGAATCTTGAAGCATTTCGAAGCTCTGCTTTCCTCACAGCCGACACAGACGTCGGGCACCAGCACGCAAACAGGAGGAAAAGGACTGGGCGCCAAGGCCCCACCCAGTGTTGGCTGCACCCTCGTGGGCAAATGTCTTATTTAATTACCACGGGCAGCACTTAGCCTTCAGGGATGAAGAAAAACACAAAGAAATGAGACCCTGGGAAGCGTCTGGAAGAGCAGGCCTTGGCGTAATCCTCCCTTGGGCTGCCCAGGACCAGGCTCGTGGGGCAGGGCCCAGGTCTCCTTGACCTTGACCCAGAGCAGCTACTGAGGAGTGGGCAGGCACCTGCCTGGGCCTTCCTGCAGGCCCAGAACCAGCCCTTGGAGAAACCGGCAGAAAACCACCTTCTGCTCCCCACACCTCATGCCCTCGACCTCACACAGACCCCGTTTTTACGCTAATCACCCAAACTTGTATTTTATTTCTCTGGATCGTTTGATATTGTCCTCACAGCATCACCTCTGCCCCCGACAGCTGTGTTCACAGACTGAGGGAGGCGCTAGAACACCGCTGGCGGCCTTGCAGACAAAGCAGACAGGCCCCGGTGCCTGCCTCCTGTTCCTGAGGCTCTGGTCTCCTTCCTTCACACGACGTGCCACTATATTTTGCATTTATATCTTGGTATTACACTCTTGTAGACTTGCTCTTTTATAAATTACATGTAAATAGTTTTCCACACCCCTACCTTCTCGAATGCCTATGGTTTCTCTTTTTTTTGGTCCAGTACATTTTGTTTCTGTATGTGACTGTTTTTTTGAATCCACATCTCTCCTCCGTAGTATTTTTTAAATAAATGTTTACAACATTAGAATTTGGACAGATTGCTTTAGTCTGTATCACTTTCCAGTCACCCAGAGCCATGGCGGGAGGGAGGGCGTCCTTGTTTCCTGGAAGGGCTTGGGGCTCTTGTTTAGGTTTTAGGGTACAGAATGATGGCAGGTCATGGCAGGCACTTTCCCTACCCTCATCTCAAACCCTTCCCGCGCCCCTGGCACACAGTTGTCAGCAGCCCAGCTCTTGTCAGAGGCACTAAGAGTGAGCTGTGCCACCGTATGGGCGACTTCTGACTGAAAGGACAAGGAAAACCAGCCAAGGGCTGTGCCAACTGTCCGGCTGCCACAGTGTCATTGAAATGGGGGGTGTAATGTCCTGATTCCTCGCTAGCCTGAGAGGGTCAGTCCCTGCACTCATGCCCATGCACCCTCTCTTGGTCTTTGAACTTACTTTCTGCCACTGCCCTTGGCCCCAAAATGCCCCTCACCATGCCGGTGCTGTTTCTTCCTGTGGATGGGGGGGAGCAGGGCACGCTGGCCTGCGAGGGGATGGAGGTGCCACCCTGGGCCCTGCCTTGGCCTCTCCCAGCCCCCAGCCAGGGGGTTGTGGGGG